AATCACAAAAAAGTTCAGTTATGCATAGAGAGATGAGACAAACAAATAATAAAACAAAAAAGTAGAATAAGTATCACTTCAGAAAAGGCGCATTAATTATGATAATTAGTAAAACAGTTATTTTTTTCGTTCAAGCATAAACGAATTTTACATTTGGAACAAGATATTCTTGTATACCCATTGCAGGCATTATTTCGACAACGTCCTTTTGATGTTATTGTAGGCCAATGATCATATTTGTCAAATCGTGTACTTGAAGGTGGAGCTGAAGTTGGTGTAGCTCGTGAAGTTGTTGTTGAATTATTTTCATTTAATTTTGATTCTAATGATGGTCGACCACGTTTTATGATAGGTGGTGGTGGACCAGATTTAGAGAAAACAGTAGCAATATTTATGTGAAAAGTTAATAAAGACATTATATCCTTTTTTGGAAGCTTTAGTTGCCAACAGTGACGTCGGTACAATGACCAAGCATTGACAACTAACAAATCAATAAGATGAAAGATGATTTTTATATAATACTTTTTAGAACCAACATTTATTTAATACAAAGAAATTAACATGTCGATTAAATCGACTCCTCCCATATGTGCATTATACGCCTGTATGACCTTCGGTTGTTCTATGAGAATATGTTTCTTTTGTTTTGATGACCATCGTTGCACTGAGTCAATTGGTTCACAACCGTGCAATGTAGAAAGACAATTAACAACATTATTATCATACTATCATGTCACGCATAATTACATCCCTTCAACTTCTGTGACACAATGATCCATTGTACCCTACCTTTCCTTGATAAATCTTTTTCACTTTTGATGTTTAAATCAATTAATCGATTTGGTCTTACCGTACCAACTGCAAAAATGCCTAACTTTCTCAACTCTACCTGTAAACGAATAGTTGTAAAATAATTATCAAAATATACTTTGTGATTGATAAAACGTGGCACAGTTTCACAAAGATTCAATACAATATCTGTACAAAATCCATGCTTCTTTTTATCATTTTTACCTGTATAGAAAATAAAGTCATAGCATATACTACTTTTGCCTCCAACTAAAAGAAACATTTTATAACCCCAACGATTCAGCTTATTCGGCATATGTTGCTTCATTATACTTTTGCCTTTAAATGGAGTAATTTGTTCATCAATGCTTAATTTTTCTTCTTTTGAAATTTTCCTAAAATTTTCTTTTACAATATTTAATAACGGACGAACTTTACCGGTTCGATCAAAATTTATATCTGTTCGATTTGACTGAAGTGAATTATCGGTAACGTGTAAATATTTTTTGATTTCAAGAAATCGATCTCTACTCATAACTGAAGATATAGACTCAACACGTGTATCACTAGACCAAAAATAACGTTGTTTTGAAAAAGAATAAATACCTGTCATCAACAATATACCAATGAAATGTTCCATCTCTGTTTCAGAAATACGTACCGGTTTGTTAGGATTTTTTTGAACAGAATATAGATTTGATTGATTTGTCAAGAGT